ACATACAGACATACAGACATACAGACATACAGACATACAGACATACAGACACACAGACACACACACATACAGACATACACACATACAGACATACAGACACACACACATACAGACATACAGACATACACACATACACACATACATACATACCTACATACACACATACATACCTACATACCTACATACACACATACATACATACCTACATACCGACATACCTACATACATACCTACATACCTACATACATACCTACCTACCTACATACCTACATACCTACATACCTACATACCTACATACCTACATACCTACATACCTACATACCTACATACCTACATACCTACATACCTACATACCTACATACCTACATACCTACATACCTACATACCTACATACCTACATACCTACATACCTACATACCTACATACCTACATACCTACATACATACATACATACATACATAGATACATACATACATACATACATACATAGATACATACATACATACATACATACATACATACATACATACATACATACATAGATACATAGATTTGGATAGATTCGGATAGATGTCTGTCTCATGATTCAGCGTGTCTGGAAATCAAATGTGTCAGTGCTGTGCAGGTGCTCTTCTTTCAGGCTGAGCAAAGTTGGAAGCAAAGCTTTGCTGGGCACTTAGCATCACTCAGCTAAAGGTGATGTTTGGGACCAAAACCGACGACATGCTTGCGGCGTTGCTAGTCGCTGGAAAAGTCTGGAATGTTAATGACCATTTGCATCAATGCTCCCGGATGCTTCAATACATGTGAGACTTTATTTCATCATGCTACAAAAAGGAAGCTAACGAATTTACAGTACCAGATAGTACCAGCAAATACTTGATTGAATCAAGGAGTAGTTTCGCGCATTTTATTTGGTTCATGTTGGTTCTATCTTCTACAAAACAATCTTTTTCTCTGCTGTATCTTTCTTGAAGCACGGGACCTGTTGATTCATCTGATTCGTGCCAGGAATCCATGATGTCTTGGATTGCCAAAAAGCGAGTCCCAGTTCCAATCTTAAATGCAGGAGATCATCATTTGTTTTTTCAATCCCACTGCAATTGCATCATTTTTTCACAAGTTCTTGAGATCCAGACATTTAGTCATTGCCATTGCGCATATTGCGCAAGCAGCCTCCGGGCCTGGGCCACTGTCGATTCCGTCAGACCTCGAACCATCTGAGGCTTTGATCCCGGGATCAGAGCAGACGGTGCGATGCCAGCTGCGTGTGATTCATCGAATCAAATCGAATCAACTTACGAAGCACAAAACATCGCAAAACAGCGAATCGCAGAAGATTTTACGCACCTGCGATGTAGTTCGTCACTGCCTTTAAAACTTGAGACTTGAGACCAAACCTTGACCGGTGACGGTTCCCTGCCAGGAGAAGTTCTTTTTGCAAGAGATTGATCCTGGAAATGGATTAGTGTTGTACTTCGGTGATAAACTCAGCCATTGGGACAATCGGAATCTGCCTGGGAACACAAAGCTTCGTTAAGTAGCTTTTGAGCTGCTTTTTGATCGTTCAAGCTTTCTTCTGCGCTTGGAATTGACCTGTCAGCAAGAGACTGACTTCAGCGCCTTTAGTAGGTCCAGTTGCTGGGTCAGGCGGACTTGTGAATGACAGTGTTCGGGCCATTCAACCAGGTGAGGATGACAAGCTTCGACGAGATCTGCACGTCACTTGTCCTGACCCAACTCAATGAATTGAATTGAAATGAATTGAATAGATAAGAAGTCAATCTTTCTCCACAGGTTGACCCAGCGATGTCAAACCATGTCATTTGACATGTCAAATCATTTGACGTAGCGATTGTAGCGAAGCCAAGGAACTGGCGGTGGCCTCGTCGAAAGAGAAACGGCTAAAATGGGTTAAAGCCTCAGCGACGCGACTCATGAACACAGTACAAACTAATAGTGACCGTTTTAAGAGCATATAGGGCCTATTTCAAAAAAGGGTTTTAGGGTTTAGGGTTCGTCGTCTGGTAGATACTAAAAAACTGGCCCTGCGCAGGTTTTTGAGCATGTCGAAGGATAATATTTGAACTCCATTCTAACCTTGCGGGCAAACCATAGGGTGTTGCCGTATAGTTAGTCCAGCTAGTGAACGTATGAGTTGAATGTATGCTTGGTCCTGCCATGGTCCTGAAAGTTGAAGTTGGTCCAGCTTCAAAGCGATGTGAAAGTGGCCAGGTCCACTTGAAGAGCAACACTTTTGGGGACAGCCTCGCCAAGAGCGCTCAGTCCTGAGACCCCACTGGCAACTTGTCCCAGACTGAATCTTTGGGGTGAACAAGAGGCTCAAAGACCAAATCTTGGATCTTCACAGGGGCGTTTTGCCTTTAGGGCCTTCAATCTGGACATTTCCTGAGCAGCCACATCACACGAGACATGTGCCCCAAGGTTGGAATGAGCAAAGCAGACTTTCCAGAGGCAGGCTATGAAGGGACCGAGCCATCTCGTGCCATGAAGCACGGAGGACCTTTCAGAGAGATCTTGCATGTGATCTTGGGCGATATCTCCTACCCTACCATGGCAGACAGAAAGTCCTTTGAAAGCACTCATTGGATCTGACTGGCAATCCATCCTTGGACCATCTCGCCACCAATACAGTCAGTCAACATCAGTCAACTCTTCAACTTCACTCCTTTCAGGTGGCCATTTGGGAGTTTGGAGAGACCGAGGAGGAGGACAAGGTATGATACTCGCTACGAGGGTTCAAGGGGGCATTCAAAATTGTCCAAATTATCGATATCCTTTTGATTTTCACTAGTCTATCTATTCACTAAAGATCTGAATTTGTGGCGGATCTTGGCGGTGTCAGGTGTATCGCCTGTCGCAGCAAAGTTCTGGTGCCACCTTCTCACGTTCCAGCGTGGAGGCACGGAATCATACGGAATCCATGAAATCTGGGCAGCGAAGTCTTGCATCAGAATCTGGCAGGACTTCGTGAAGTTTTGGCGGCAGGGCAGGCTTTCTGCAGAGAAGGAGAGGCATCCATGTCAGACGAGCCTTGAAGTTGTTGAATCTTTGTGTGGCTTTGAAGCGGACTCTGGAACTGCAAGGTGATTGGAAACCGAAAAGATGGAAAAATGGGTGCTCTCTTCATCCCTCTTCCATATCAATTGGTGACTGCACGTTGCCTTTCTCTGTGGTCTGCACATGTCTGCACTATCAGGATCCTGTGAAAACAGTCACCAGCGACACCTTTGACAGCGTGGTGATCAACAACCAGAAAGCCGGTCCCTCAGCCCTGATCCTCAAAATTCAGGGATTGTTTGATCACCATTTTGACTGAAACCATCATGACACCAAGAGCATCAAAATATCGGATTGTTTGAGTCAATGACACCATCAACATGTCATTGCCATTGCGTATCTTACTTTGGTCAAACACATCTGGCACGTCAGGCATGTCAGGCATGTCAGGCATGTCTGCCACCCCATGTCTGCTTGGCTTTATTTCTCCAAATGCCTCACATGGATAAGGATGTGCTGGTGGAGTTATACGCTCCATGGTGTGGCCATTGCAAGGCTGACACGGAAGATTTATTTTTCAAGCCGAGTTTGCAGACCTATGAGCCTCCAGTATTGACTTCGGTGCTTGGATGAGATCAAGCGGCGGGGAACGAGCGGACTATAGGGAGAAATCAAGCGAATCAAGCCTCTACAAACAGTTAGATTTCGCAACAGACTTTGCAAGCTACGCCGCACGCATAGGGAACCTGGTCTTTTGCATCTTTGAAAAAACATATAACTATAACATACTATAACTATAACATATAACAACATTGCAACCCCATACAACCCCCAAGATGTGCAGGGAGCCTATGGGAAGCTGTTGGAAGCTGTTGGGAGCCTGCAGTTTGCACCAGGCATTGGCACCGGAGTACAAGCTCGTGGCCTGGAGCCAAAGTGCTGGAGAGGTAGAAGTCCCTCAGTCCTTTGTCATTCCTCCCCTTAGAAGTGCAACCTCTGTCACCAAAGTCTTGAATGTTGGCTTGAGATGGCTTGGACCCAGTGTGTCTCAGTTCTTCCTGAGGCTCAGCACTACGCGAAGGATGAGGATGTCGAGATTGTGTCGCTTTTCTGCGAAAAGTAGGTCGCTACTTCGGTAGCTATTTGCAGCTACACAGACTTGGAATATGACAGACGCATGCAGTGAAGACCTGCTGCGTGTTTTTCATGCCTCTGCACCTAGGAAGATGGACGCAACAAAGTGCGCCCAGAGGGAAATGGCTGGAATATGCTGGAATGACAGCGAATCTGTTTGCTCCATAGTCAGTGAGTTATCAGCCTGTTTGCAGTTGTAGAGGGACGTTCATGCTCATCTCATGAAAGCAGTTTCGTAGTTGTTGAGCCGGCCCTGCACTTGAAAGGCACAAGCATCCGTCTGCAGAGATCAAAAGCTACCCTACACTGAAGCTCTATGCGAAGGCATGGAAAGTCCTGAGAATAGAATCCAGCCAGACAGCATTGGGAGCCACCAAAGCCCTCCCATTTGTTGAATAGGGGATGTTTGTTTGTTCCTTATGCCTTAATGATCTTAATGGATCTTAATGGCTGATAGAAAAGATCGCAACGCACAAGTAATGTCCGGCCTGCCTGACCAGGGTAAGAAGGATACGCCCATTGACGGTGAGTTCAAGTCTACACGCACCAAGGCAGCTGAATCGCTGCAGCAACCAGCGATAACATGCGACAACACGGTGATATCATGGAGAAATTTATGTAAATTTTGTGGGGATCCATGCAGAGCCGGTTATCAAATCTTCCAAGACTCGAAGCCATAGCCTGCAATAGCAGCCAGAGCCACAGCAGGATGGAATCCTGGAATTCGTTGAGAAGCATCGGGCTGCTCGGATGTGCTTAACTTCAACTTTGGTTGGTTACAGAGTGATACAGAGTGATAAAGTATCTATCCAGGTCCATCCAGTATCTGCAAGAACTCAACAGCTCAACTTTTCTGCTAAGATCCAAGGCATCAAAATCTGGGAAGGGCGGGAAGAAAAAAGATGGCCCTCAGCCAGAGTCTTGGCCTCAGCCCAGACTAATACGGTACCCCAAATTTGATGGTTGATCAATGTAAGTAGTTATTCACATGTTATTCAGTTATTTATATTTCTTTTTATTTATTTACTTATTTATTTATTATTTTCGCCCTTAAAGAGATTCCAGTCAAATTCAGTTCCGTCCCTGCAGATTTCTACAAAACCCACCTTGCCCCAATCTCTCTCCGTCCCAGGTCTGCCAAACCTCCGCCATCGTCACCGGGCACCGTTCCAACGGCGCCTAGTGTAAGCTCGTCTCCAAAGCTTGGGAACCCATGGATGAAACTGACTTGACTTGGGGAGCATGCACCAATGTGCAGGTTTGAAGAACATGTAGCTTTGATAGAATGGCACGGACTCGTGCGTTTGATTTCACTTTCCTTAGACACTACGAATACATATCATTTGTATAATTGACACGCTTTCAACTTAATGACGAAAAGGATCGACAAAGGCAATTATGCAGAATTTTACGGACATGCAAATAAGACATAATTACACATACATAAATAAACACTCTCGGACAGGACACTCTCAATTCTTTACACGCAAGCACATGCATTCTCTCCACATATACTGTATGCGTGATATTCCGTGATATGAAGGATTTCAGCATATTTCAAGATATTTCAAGATATTCCTATTTAAATCCATATATAATGCATACCAATTGTATCCTATTGCCAGTGAACTCCACTAAAGGCCACAAACGACACAGGCCGGAAGCGGGAGAAATCTGCAGAGATCAACGGGGTCAGTACTGGATCTTGATGGTTGAAACATGTTGAAACCAGAATTGGCTGCAGTCTTGCTGAGGTGAAACAGTTGTGCAGTTTCGAATGTGCTGTGAAGTTTCGCCACTTTCACTCTCACATCCAGAGACGTAAGCATAACAAGCCATCGCCCAATCTGCAAGGTGTGCTTAGACAGTTCTCCTGATGCCTTTTGTTGATCCTGGATGTGGAATTTTGCCCATGCCAGATATTCCACCGTTCGCATTCTGTTTGGGCTCATGTGCAAACTCGTGTTGATTGAAGATATTGAAGCTGTCAAACCGACTACTTTGCCAGAGGAAAGTTCAGGAACCTTTGGATCCAACTAGTGACTTTAGTGGAGCACCTTTTCTCGATGCCACGAGTGTTAGTAGACTTGAGGTATCTCACATTGTCTCACTCCTGCATTCTTGAGCCAACAGATCCAGCATGTAAAGCACACATGTCAAGCACACATGTCAACTTATGTATGTATGTATATATATATATTTAAGGGCTGCCTGCCGCCCCTGCTGCCGACCCCGGAAAACAATATTGGCATTGAAAGGCGGTGATTTTCCAGGTCGCTACGTTAAGTAACTTCTGTGGATTGTTGTTTTTTTGGTTATATACTATATAGTTGGATCTTACTGGTTTCTTGGATTATAATAAACAATCATGGGGAGATCTATTTGCCAACCACTTTGGGATGGTGGTATGCTCACGGGGTGATAGTTTCAACGGCTGTCTCTGATTTTTTCATTTTGGAAGGCCAAGTGGGCAGTGTCCAAAGATTGTGTGGCCTGGTGAGGTAACTAACAACCTGGTTATTTTAACGTTGCTATCTAGAAGCACCATTTTCAGGAGGTAAAACATCATTCCAATCATCTATAGATGGCCCATGGCTGCCATAGTTTTGTTAAAAAAGTAGAGGGTAATTAAATGTAGTATGTATAATATATATATATATATCATATGGTTGCATATCAACGGTTAGGTAGGTTTGGGATAAGCAGCTGACTCTCATGATGCATGTTCTAACTCGATCGTTTCCCTTGCGCTCTATATATATTATAATATCTCTCTCGAGTTTATTATATATATATATATATGGAGTCTCCTTTTATTTTATACCAAGTGCAGTGTCCTGATGTGATCACTAAGGACTCGATGCGGTCGTTTGCCATTTTGGCACAAAGAACGAGTGATCACAGTCAGGCCACAGCTCTTTTTGATCTAAGAGGATCGCTGTTTTTAGGGCCTGGGACTGGATCACTTAAGTATGTCTTTTCCTCCTTGTAGCCCGGCTCCATTGGAACGTCAGAGAGCCATGGCAGCTGCTCGAGCCAGTGTTGGAGGTGATCACCTTGCACCTGAGGACAGTGCCTCACAGGTGTCCTGGAGTGTGGTCGTGGATGAACAGCGCAATGTGGAGCCTGTTCAGGAAGTGCCAATGCAGTTCCCTGAGCCTAAGGTACCACCGCCCGGGTTCAGACACCAAGGTGAGCCGGCTCCTGGCTATGCAGCCCAAGGACAGGATCAACCCAAGAGTCGTGTGTCAAGCTCAAGCGGAAGTGCACCCTTCCCACCTGCTGATGCGGCTCTCTTTTTCACTGACCCTGCTCAAGCCCCTGCTCAAAGTGCTGCTGCTCCAGCTACTCAGGCAGCACGTGATTTGCTTGGAAGCGCTCAGAAGCAGGCAGCTCGCCTGGCAAAGCGAAAGCTCAGGCAAAGAGGCGTGGTCATCGTGCAGTTAGGTGGGGACAGATGCCTGGCCTTGATGCTCAGAATTTCCAGCTCCCAACGTTCATCAGGCAGTTGGGTGCTGGCCAAGATGAACGATCAGTGCTTGTGATTGATAGCCGCGATCGGCGCATTCAGTCCCCCTACCAGGGATGGCTGCTGGACGAGATCTTGCTGAACGCCCAGTCTGGAGTGAACGTCCTGGTCGATCGACAACTTGTCAGATCGCCAAACAAGCGCTACCACCTCAACTTGTTCTATGTGAGGACGATGGACGGGTTCAAGTTCATCTTGGTAGGATCAATGACGTCTTACGGGACGGTGCCAGCAGCTCGCTGGGATGCAGACACGGGGAAGATCATGGCCCACCCGGCCTTTCAACCTTTTCGTTGGCCGATGATGACTGACGAATCTGCAACCTGGGTCGATGTGAAAGTCAAGGTTGAAGGAGGTCTTCTTCTACACCTTGAGCTGCGCGGCTACTGATCGAACACTGACATGACGGTTCAGATGAACTACGTCAATGATGCTCTCATGGCGAACCTTAGGGACTGCCTTTTTGTGCCGTCCTGCATCGTCACGGTGTTCCACGGATGGAGGGTGGTGGCAACCTCGTTCGAGGTGGGAGGGCGTCTGTACGCCTGCAGTGATAGTGGGACGGTCGTGGCCCTGGACTTTCCTTTGTGCCACTTTGAAGTCCGGCTCACTGCGCTCTCTTCCACGGACTCGATCGGGATGGATGCAGACCGCTTAGAGTTCCGATTCAGGTCATCCGGTGATCAGCTGGACGTTGCATGTTCTCAGGTGGTGGTTCCATCAACTTGGCTGGTTGTGTCGCGTGTGTCTGGGCCCACCTTGATCAAGAATGCTCGTTGGTGTCGTGAGCATCATGCAAGGGTGGAAGGCCCTGATCAGACCATGCAATTGTCACAGCTAGCCGAGATCCATGCACACTGGACTGCATCGATCGAAGCAGAGTCCGTTGATGACACGGGTCCGAGGGTGAGTGCGGTCGCGGTGGATTCTCACCCGGCCAACTATCACCTCACCTGTGAGTCTCCCTTGTTCAGGGCAGCGAAGTCGTTGGTGCCAACCGATGCACTGGCTCTGCAGGCGCACAATGTGGCTCTGGAACAGGAGACGATCGTGCTCCCGCCAGTGACGGGTGGGCCATCAGTGGTGCCAAGATCATCAGTTGCGGCCCCTCTGCAAGCATTGGCTGGACCGTCGGCTCCTGCACTGGTTGTGGCGCCCAATGTTCAAGCCGAAGTCTCCATGACTGAGCCGGGTCAAGCCCCAGCCTCGGGAGCCATGGGAGGCTCGGTACATGTGCAAAGGCGATCGCTTGAAGCTCGCCAACAAGAGAGGATCTCAGTGGCAGCCGTGACGCCACAAACTTTTCTTGATCAGGTGTATCAGGCGGTCCCGGGACGCCCAGTCAGTTTTGGACCGGCTCCGACCGTTGAAGAAGTGACGGAGACCTGACCTTGATCAAGAAGTTTGAAATTCACCGAGTTTGCAAGGTGGCGGAATGTATCAGGCCGCAGCACGATCGCTGGCCGAATGCTCTGAAAAATCATTAGCTGCTGCGAGAGCTGTGCAAACACCCTCAGTTTAGGTCTCTTGTTTTCCCGTTGTTCACCCTGGTTTTTCCCCGTTTTGGTTTGGTTTAACTTGGGTCAATGGGTTTCCTAGGGACCTAATTTCTGAGGTGTTTGCTCTGTGAGACCCCACAATTGTGAACGGGTGGGATTTGATCACATCCAGCTCGTTCATGGGGACGGCTCCCATATTTTCCACTTGGCCCAGGCGAGGGCCCCAGTTTGCTCGGCTGTGGGATCTCAGACCGGACGTGATGTTAGAGCGACTGTTCCGATATGGGGTATGATCTCCATAGCTCTGGTCAGTCATCTTTCTCTGTCTGGTCGATCGACCACATAAAGCTGTCAAGCTTTTGCATTTATGATTTTGGTCACGATTTATGCATGATACAAGTTGATGTATTTCGTTCATTTGATTTTAATTGCTCTTTGACGCCACGCCTGTGACACCACCTCATGCAGTAGTTCACACATGTTTGCATGTTCATGCTTTTGAGGCGTTAAGGTTCGAGGTGCAATGATTGCTCTCTTAACCGACTTGACACTCTCATGTGTGCACTGTTCATGTTGTGTGGGGGTTCACAGGGAAGTCATGGCTCAAAGTTCTGATCGCTGGACATCTAAGATTTTGTGTCTTCCAATTTTCTCTGATGCCTTCGCTCAGGCGCTGTTGGCTTCACCTTATGCCAACTTGGCGCTGGTGTCAGCGATGGAGGTGCGATCGGGCCCGGAGTTCACCGTGAAGGTGCACGACTGGTCAGCATCCCTAGAGGAGACCGTTCGTGATGTTTTGCTCAGCAACAGTTTTATGCTGGAACAGTTTTGGAGTCTAGCTACTTCGATCGAGAAGGCATTTTTCGAATCCTCTGCAAATCAGCTGGGTTTCGGGCAGTGCGATCCGACTACTTTGGCGTTGAGTGCCGAGACCGCTAGTGCTCGTAGGGCTAATGCCATCAAAGCTCTGTTGCACAAGCCGGCTCAACCGCCCAGGAAACTGCTCAAGAAGTCTGATTCGGATCCGACGTCCACACCGCTGTTGGACCAGGAGAATGCCGCTCGGTGGAAGTGGGCTTCTAAACTGGAGGCCATAGGGAAACGGGCGGGTCAACACTCCAAGCTCTTGCTGGATACCACCAACAGCCAAGGGCTCTCGCCGGGTGAGACCGCTCGGCTACGCCAATTAGTGTTGGCATCGGGGGCTCCACGGACTATGTCGGCCCACATCTCCGCATGGGAGCGGTTCGAGGAGTGGGCCAATAGTGTTGGGATCCCCGTTTTTCCTTGGCCTTCTGATTTGATTCTGAAGTATGCTCTAGCTCTTGACGAGAAAGAATGTGGTCCCACAGTTTTGCCTTCTTTTAGGATGTCAATTAAGTGGGTAACATCTAAACTGGCGATCGACTGCCCTGATTTGTCCCATCCCGCTCTCTTGGCGGTTCAGTCGGACGTCATTCAGAAAAGGGCCACCACATTGAAAGAAGCCCAGCCCATCCCGATCGTGGCGGTCGGAAGTCTGGAGCAGTTCGTCACAGACGTGCAGCAGCCAGAGGCAGCTAGGCTCTTTGCATGGTGGTGGCTCTGCATGGTCCTCTGCATGGTCTTCGCATCGCTGAGGTTCGACGATGCCATGCATGTCAGGCCAACTGAGTTGATCATGAAAGACGAAGGGCTCTTTGGCGTCGCTTGGCAGACGAAAGTCGAGCGCAAACGCCGTGGCACGAAGTTCGTAGTGCCGAGAGTTGGCTTTCGTGATTCAGCCTGGCTTGACATTGGCTGGGACCTTTTGCAGCTCGAAGATTTGGATCGTGACTTCTGGATGAGAGACTTGAACACCCAGACGGAGTTCAGGTCTGCACCAGCTCAATATCAACGTTCCATTCAGTGGCTGCGTTTCATTGGCAAGCTCGCCATCAAGACCTACTTTAGTGGGCCTGAGGGTAAGCTCAATGAGGCCGTGGACGGGTTGCTCAAGGTCACAGCCCACTCAGCTCGGGTCACCATGTTGGACGCTGCAGTACATGCTCGTCGATCGACGGAGGAGATCGGACTGCAAGCGAACTGGAAAAATCCGGGTCCTCTAGTGTTGAAATACACCAGGAACCGGACCAGCGTACCAGCTCAGATGGTTCAACAGCTGGTCAAAGACATGGTTGACAATGAGCACCCGTTCGAGGCTGAAGAGGATGTCGTGCTCGACTCCGTAGATGAGACGGCTCTCAATGAGGTGCAGTTCTACGTCAAGACGGAAGGCGCTCGTGCCTCCCGTGACTATCGATATCACTGCTCGAAAGAGGAGGACGATGAGATGGTCGCATGTGGCAAGCTCGCCGTCCGTGACTGCACTGCCGTTGGGGCCGCCCTGCCAGATCCTTCCGTGCTCTGCAAGCAGTGTGCCAAAGCTCGACCAGATGTGGCTTCACGATGCTTCTCTGCTCAGAGCGGAAGTGTTCGGGCATGAGTCTCAGCTGCAATTTTGCTTTTGGAAGGTGATTTATTTGTTTTGTCAATGATTTTCAATTTGCATTTTCCGATGATAATCTCAGTTTGGCTCTAAGCTATTACACAATTAATCATGGTGGATCGCACCGTGTACACCCCGGACAAGTTGCCGGAGCTCCCATTGCGGCAGATCTTTGGTCGGCAACGAGTTCCGGAAGACTTGTGCCGGCTCGTGGCTGATGTGGGTCTCCGCAGCGTGGAAACGTTCGCCATGCTGGGGGACACGATCACAACGGTCAAGCAGACCTTGAAAACGATCATACCAGATTCTGCTCGTTTCGGCGATGATGCGCCGGCGCAGGAGCTTGCTCTTACAGCTCTGGCGGCCGTCTGGAAGCAGTGCTCCACCATGCAAGATCACTTCGCAGCTCGGCGAGCCAAAATGGAAGAAGACCCCAGCAAGGTCCCAGAGATTCCAGGCGAAGATCATGCTGAGTTTCGTGACACGTTCGTGGCTCGTCACCCTGACGTGCTCTTGCCCATGCATCGAGAGCCTCATCGGAAGTTTGTCGAACGTGTTCAACGAGACTACTTGGTGCACGGCTTTGTTCATTTCTACGAAGTCGGCGAGATCCGCACCAGGACTGAGCAGATCGCTCAGAAATCTGGGCTCTCCAAAAATGCAGAGGATCTCTTGCGTGTGGTGATGGTAGATCAGCCTAGTGCGGCTAGTTCAGAATCTCAGGTGATGGACAAACTGCATGCGTTCTTCATTACCTTAGAATACTTGAACATCTGTGAGTTCTCCGTGGCAGCCGGGCCCCTGAAATACTTGTCTGATCTGGAGGAGTGGCGCCATGAGAACCGTGGCCTGGCCTTGCTCTTGGCGGCTGATGCGTTGATCCGCAAGAAAGTTCATCGAGTGAGCTCTGATCAGCGCAAGACATTTGGCACGTTCTCTGCCGCCTTGCTTGAGGTCTTGACCAACCACAAACAGCTGTGGAATGACGCTCGATCAAGCGCAGAGTTGGACAAGTTCAAGCAGGTGATGCAGACGACGGCGCCATCTACACCGTCAAAGAAGCGCTCCAGATCTCGCTCGCAGTCAGCCCCAAAGGCTTCACCCAAAGCTCGAAAGAACAGGGCTCGTCGTGAACGCCAGAAGGCCTTGCTCAAGAAAGCTAAGGTTGGTCACGCCTCAACGCCACCTCCCAAGTCGGATCAGGCCAAGAAACCCGCTCGAGATGAACGGGTCCCGGCCCACGAATGGCAGAAGATTACTTCGTTCAAGTATCAAGGAGCCAAGCGATGCCCTTTCTTCAACTGCTCACTGGGTTGCCGCTTTGGTGATCACTGCCGCCAGAAGCACAGCTGTGTGGAATGTGGTAAAGATCACCCGTGGCACGGCAACCACTGAGCTCGGCCCAACTTTGAGGGGGCCTCACTGGAAGCGCCCCCCGGTCAATGGAGCTGTCCAGCCACAGTGTGTTATGATGGCTTGTCGGCATCTGCGCCGTCCGGTCGGAAAACGGCTGATTCTGAGCCGTTCACTGTGCCTGGTTGGTCCCAGTTGACCGAAGATTTCACCATTTTGCGCTCGCATGGCCCATTTTTCCTGGAAATTTTTGCTGGCCAAGCAGGCATCACAGAGGCTGTTCAGCTGATGGGTGTGCCTGCGCTGCCGCCAGTGGATGTGGTTGTCTCTGATCTGGTCAGCGAAGCAGCCGATGTGTTGGATCTGGCAGTGTGGGAGACTATCATGGCAATCATTGCTATCATTGCTGCCAGGCTGGTCTTCTTGCTCCATTGTGGCACCCCGTGCAACACCTTCACTGCAGCTCGCAAAGATGATGGAGGACCTCCTCCACTGCGCTCTCGCGATGCTCCTCTTGGTCTTCCAGGACTCAGTTGGCAAAACCAAGCTCTTGTTTTTATGGGTAATCTGTTTTTGATCCGAACGTGCGAAGCTTGTACTCTTGTTTTTAATCTTGGAGGGAATTTCACGATCGAAAACCCCCTGTTGAGCCTCATGTGGGCTACGACAATGATGGACCAGCTCGTCCACGACACACGAGCTCTGGCTGTTGATTTTGATCAATGTGCCTTTGGGGCTCCGTCCAAGAAGCCCACACGTTTGTTGTGCTCAGCTGAACATTTCGAGGTGCTCCAGGTACTTTGTCCAGGAGGGCACGTGCACGAGTCTTTGAGAGGCAAAGTGTTCGACCCCCTTCAGGGCAAACTGGTGTTCAAGACCAAGGCTGCGCAGGTCTATCCTTGGGCTTTGTGTGCGGCGTTCGCCAGCGTTGCTCACGATCTATGGCAAGACCCTCTTCATGCTCTACAACCTTCGCTGCAGCTGACCACGCCCCCTGCGGATCGCAAACGCGAAGTGGGCTCCTGCAAACCGTGGCTCGGACACAAGCAGGAGGAGTCGGCTCTCAAAGCGCTCTGGGCGGGTTATCAGCTGAAGCGGGGTGCGGCCAAGCCTTTGTTGCATGTGGAGATGGAACCTGGCCAAGCGATCGAGGCGGCCTTGAACGTGATCCACCCTTTCACCATCGAGGCTCCTCTGGCAGCGATGGAAGAAGCAGCCGTCCTCCAACTTCGGCGCCCGTCTGAGGTGATCATGGCTGAGCGGGCGCGGTTGCTACAATTTTGGCATGCTCAGGCAGTGGCTTTATTGCCCCACTCAGTGGCGGCGATCCGGGCGCTGCCCGATCCCCATCTGCGGCGTCTGCTCCTTGGCACTGACGACCTTTCCGTGCCGCGCCTTGGTCAAGTTTGCCACGTCGCATTGTACGAGGCTATGCTCATGGCGTGCGGCTCGGTGGATCAGTCATTGCCCTCTTTTCTCTTGCACGGTTTTCCGATCGTTGGTGAGATCGCTCGCTCTGGTCGATGGCCTCCCTACAATAAGCCCCAGAAAGACATCCCGGTGCAAGACGCATTGGATAGGGCCTGGGTTCTTCGGAAGAAGATCATCCAACGTGTTCAATCAGTACAGATCTCTGACAACCTTCAGAAGATTTGGGATGCATCGATCGAAGATGTTGAGGAGAAATCGTGCTTGGGCCCCTTTGTGTCTGAAGAGGAGGTCACGAAAGCTCTTGGGTGCGACGATTGGATCCCAACTCAGAGATTCGAAGTTGTTCAGAAGAATAAAGTTCGTGGTTGTGACAGCGCCACGACAAACATGATCAATCAGATCACCCGGATCTCGGAGAAGCTACAACTGCCTTCTACAGACACGAATGTCGCAGCTCTGCGCAAGTTGAGAACGATCAAGCCTGGCGTGAAGCTGGCAGGGTGGGTGCTCGACGAGCGCAAAGCCTATCGGCAAGTAGCGGTGCGACCTGATCACCGGAAGTTCTCTGTTATTTGCTTGAAGAATCCGAAGACTGGTGCTCCCAATTTCTTCATCATGATAGGTCACTCATTTGGCTTGGTCTCAGCTGTATACAACTACAATCGCCGATCGGCGGCCATTAACGAGTTCTTGGTCTCGCTGTTCGGCTTAGTGGCTTTCAGCTTCTATGACGACAAATATGGTTTTGAACCTCTGGCGATCGCGGGAAGTGCTCGTGCAGTAGCTGAACATGTTCATTTCTGGTTAGGTGCGAAGTTTGATCAGAAGAAATTGCAGCTATCTACAGAGCCCACGATCCTAGGGGTGACTTACAACCTTGATCAGATGCAGTTGGAGATCAAAGCTGAGCGGAGAGAAGAGATCACCCAGGAGATTGAAGCGATCGTGAAGGCAGGCATTCTAGACCCTGGCTCGGCGGGGAAGTTGAAAGGTAAGCTCATGTTTGGCGCTTCTCAGCTCTGGGGAAAAGTTGGACGAGCTTTTCTGAGGGTCATTTCTGAGCGCCAATACCTTCGTTTCCCGATCGGTAGTGAGTTCAAACTAGATCAACCTCTGCTCGAGTCTTTGCTCCACTGGAAGAAATTGGTCAATGAGGGACCGCCGAGGCCGATCGAATCAGCTTCAGCTAAACTAGTGGATGCAGTGATTTTCACAGATGGTTTCACGCCGGATCCTAGGAAGAAGGAACGTTTGCCTGATCGTGTAGGAGCTGTTCTTTTTGATAGGCGTTTGAAACGGCCTATGCAATTCACGTCAGCTGTCTCCAAAGCCGTTAAGAGGCGGTGGCTTGAGCGCTCGACTCAGATTGTTCCTGTTGAGATGGTCGCAGCTGTTCTAGCCCTGGAGACTTTTGCTGATAGGATCCGTGGTTCAGATATCTTATTGCTCATAGATTCCGAGGCTGTTGAAGGTGCCTTGATCAAAGGCTACTCGAGCCGAGAGGATCTCTGTCAATTAATATCTGTATTTTGGGATCTTGCATTTCAGCTCCGAGTGAGAGTTTTTATCGATCGGATCTCAACTGATGCCAACCCAGCCGATTGGCCATCAAGAAATAAACTTTTCATAGGCGAGGCCGCAGGCTGGATCACAGTGAACCCCTGCTGGCCGAAGGCTCTGTTTGAGACTTAGGAGAGGGCCTGGGTCAGTGACTAAGCTCAACTTCATTTGCTCTCACCACATGCTTTGACCTGCCTGTGAAAGGCTCTGTGTTTAAGCGTTGTTTGGTTTGAGTCTATTTTTGAGCCTGGTCATTTGGCTTATGCATCTTACTGATCTGATGATCTGATCAGTGTCTCTGACAGTGACCTGCTCGCCCCATGCCCTGAGCAGCGTCCGCAAAAAGGATCTTTTTGCACATGCAGCTGTTCAGGCGCGTCGGTTTCTTGGATTGGGTTCTGATCAGTTAGAAAGTAAGAGGGATTCTCTCTTACGTTCATGAACAAGTGAGTCGGTTGCATATCAACGGTTAGGTAGGTTTGGGATAAGCAGCTGCATGTTCTAACTCGATCGTTTCCCTTGCGCTCTATATATATTATAATATCTCTCTCGAGTTTATTATATATATATATATGGAGTCTCCTTTTATTTTATACCAAGTGCAGTGTCCTGATGTGATTACTAAGGACTCGATGCGGTCGTTTGCCATTTTGGCACAAAGAACGAGTGATCACAGTCAGGCCACAGCTCTTTTTGATCACCCAACCCAGCCCGCCCTCGTGAATGAGGGTGGGCTGGACTTCCAGCCCACACATTTTTCGGTGGGGTCAGTGACTAAGCTCAACTTCATTTGCTCTCACCACATGCTTTGACCTGCCTGTGAAAGGCTCTGTGTTTAAGCGTTGTTTGGTTTGAGTCTATTTTTGAGCCTGGTCATTTGGCTTATGCATCTTACTGATCTGATGATCTGATCAGTGTCTCTGACAGTGACCTGCTCGCCCCATGCCCTGAGCAGCGTCCGCAAAAAGGATCTTTTTGCACATGCAGCTGTTCAGGCGCGTCGGTTTCTTGGATTGGGTTCTGATCAGTTAGAAAGTAAGAGGGATTCTCTCTTACGTTCATGAACAAGTGAGTCATATATATATATATATCTACATTGCATATTTGAGGTCTTATACTACTTGATTGATTCGGCAATACCATGGCCCAATGATGGGAACATCGACGTTTACGAGCTTCCCGCACCGCGGCAGCCCTTCGTCTCTGTGGTCTACCTCCATGCGCATCATACGGCACAATTTTAAGCCAAAACACACTAAAGCTTTTTGTTTCACCGGAGACGTGCAGAATAGATTTTGCAGGTATGGACAATCTAGGGTTTTCCCAGGAACATGGCGGATTCGCCGGATCTATGTTGATTTACCACGGGGTCTTGTGTGCTTTTGTTTGAATACTTCCAGCCAAACAGAGAAGGACAGATCTGGGGTCTGAACGTAGCTATCTCAGGAGAGGATAGGTGTAGGATTACCTACGAGGCAAGGCAGCTCCTGCACTCAGTTTATGCTGATGAGGATCAGGAGATTATTGGCACAGTGGGCAAATTGTCCCAGGGCAATGGGCCAGACTGAGCAACATCTCAGACAATCGCAGCTGGCCCCAAGATCACAGCTTCTTGGTGACAGGATAAGAAACTAGCTCCCGCAAGCTTGCTATTTGCTAGTTTCGGGGCTGCCCTCGCAGAGCCTTAGCCCCATGCTGCTGAAGGACGCAGCCGGCCGGCAGCCTGCAGCTTACGTTGCCCCTTGCTGCTTGTAATGACTTCTTGCCCATTACTGCTGGTAATTTCTCCTCTGACGCGCTCCCCCTGCTGCAAGCGGAGTCGGCGGATACACACATAATATAAATAGTTTCGTTTATTTATCACAGCAGGATCACGCTGCAATAAGACGTCCGAAGGTTTAACATCACCTTTGGGCCAGGTCTTGTTATTCTTGAATCAAATACCTTCTAAGAGTGAATGAGTCAAGTCGCAGTGTTTTTGGGGAATTCCCCCTCGTGGGAACTACCCAGAAGTGCTAACCTACCAAACATACAGATACCCTTACGACACCCTTGGGACACCCTGCAACACCCTTCGTCGCATTCGGCCTTGGCTTCTGCGCAGCCATGACTTCGTCCTCTTCGTTAGCCCAAGGTGGGTGGGGACTGGGTGATGACTTCGTGTCCGTGAAAAAATCAGTTTCTGTTTCTTGATGTTCCTTGATGTTACTTGACGCTACTTGATGTTACATGATGTTACATGATGTTACAAAATTATACTTGATGTTTTTGATGTTACTTGGTTCTGTTGCTCCTTCACAGCCTTGGAAGTAATCTCAAACAATTCGGCCTAGAAGGCTGTCTTCTTCTGCAATCGCGATCGAAGGTCTACATCTTTGTTGTGATGTCGAACAGAATCCAATTCAGCAGCCAAAATTGTACCTTCCAAGATTCCAAGACAAATGCATTCGGTTGTTGCCCAGGCCGGCTGTGTGACAAGGGCTGCCAGCGACCTGCTTTTGCGGCCTATGCCACCTGCTGCACGTACTGCCAGGGTCCAGAGGGCCCGCACGTATCTCACCCATGATTTGCGGATCAAATGGGTTTCAGAGTAGACTCTTTTTTTGTCTTGAAAGATTTGAAAGAGTCTTCAGGCTTCCCCTTTTGAATGGCTGATCCAGACCAAAGCCGACAGCCAAAACCAAGGCGCGTGACTGTGCGCAGAAGGTCGAGCTGGTGGGCTACCGAAGAACCAATGAGCCAACTCCAGCATTCTCCTCACAGATTGTGGTCCGAGCCATTTGCGCAGAGCTCTATCGAAGCTTTGACAAGTTCCTTGAGCAAAGAGCTTTGAGCTTTGGTTTGACATTTTGACAACAGACATTGTGGATCCTGGTTCTTTGCTGCAGCGAATAGGATTTCGATGGCTGCAGATTTTTGTTGATTTTCAGAGGTTTGGCCGTATGGATCCCTTTGCCCTGGTGGACTGGTGCTACGAGGATGGGCGCACAGTGAGTATTGGGCGAACCAAGACCGCAGCAAGACAGCAACTCCACTATGAATTGTGACCATTTTTTTGTCTCCCAAACAAGACCCTGGTACAATTACACCAAACCGAAGTGTCCATGGTCTCCACCTCTAGTAACTTGTGCTGTTTCCTTATTGTTTCTTTGCCTCTTGTATCCTTTTGCTCTTTTACTTTTTTATTTGAGGTGTTCACGGGCTTTTGGGTTTTTGGACTCAAGATTTTTGACCCTATCAGTGCCTATCAGGCATATGAATCCAGTCTGGGAACACAGTTGCAAAACGATGCCCTATTCTGGGAATGGCAGTGGTGACAAGATCCACTTCCAGGTCCATCAGCATTGCTGCTTCCATGGTTCAGGAAGGAGGGCCACAAAGTGCGAGAGGGGAAACAGTAGAAAGGGATCACATGGTCCAAAGATGTCACAGCCGAGTGTTTTCAACTGCTTCTGAATGTGATGGAGTTGCTTAACCAATGCGATAGACCCCCGGGCCCCAGGAAAGAGTGCTAGAGGCTGTAAGGCTGCGACTCAGAATGTAAGGCCCCGATCCATACCATGGACCCAAAGGCCATCCGTACATCCCTAAGGGATATGATCCATACCCATTAAAAATGTCAAGTCGTACTTGTGCCAGGCCACTTTAGTATACCTTCGCAATAGGTCCGGATCAAACCTCTTTTATGTAACTCACTCGTTCCATATGTCCGCATCGCCGCGGAACGGTCCATACCCATTTTTTGAGCCACATCCAATAAGGCTATATTATATATTATATATATTATATTATATATATAATTTATACTATATATATATATTACATTATTATATATATATATATATCATATATATATATTTATTTTATATTATATTATTTTTATATTATATTATGTTATATTATATTTTATTATACTATATTATATTATATTATTTTATATTGTATTATATATTATAATATAATATAATATTATATTATATATTATATTATATATCATTTTATATTTTACTATCTTATATTACATTAAATTATATTATATTATATTATATTATAATATATTATATTATATTATCTTATGTTATATTATATTATAATATATTACATTATATTATCTTATGTTATATTATATTATAATATATTATATTATATTATATATACTACAATTAATGATACTGTATACAAGTATAACGTAAGAACGTATTAATTACACATTAATATATACATACCTACGACATTACATGACCATATATGTAGAAAAAGTCATAAATAAGATAAATAAATAGATAGATAGATAGATAAACACATAAATTAATTAATGAATGAATAATTTTTATTAATACTAATGATGATGATGATGATGATGATGATGATGACAATAATGATAATGATAATGATGATAATAATAGTAATAATAATAACAATAATAATAATAAATATATATGTGTATACAAAGTCAGTTGTATACCATTGAACGTGCCACGCTGTCAGGTGCTGGAGGAGAATTTGGGAGGCCTCGTCCAGTCCACCTTCTGTGGAGATGCCACGGTGCCTGTGGACGCCTTGCTTTCGGGTGCGCGGACCATCTCCCCTGGGCTGATGCAAACTCAGCCGCAGCCGATACCTTTGCACAAACGTGGGGAAAACACTGGACAGAGTCTTGGAGGTGGACTGAGGTGGCAATGGATTTCTGTTTCGAGTTCTATTTTTGAAATGGAGATTTGATATTTTCATTTTCGGCTTCTTGACCTCAATCCTACCAATCTCGTGAGGGTCAAGCTCAGTGAAGGATTGTGGTGCAAATCCTTATTCATCTGCCAGAAAGTCAGCAAGCAGCCCTGAATCAGTTCACCTACGTCGACGCGAAGCGCTTTGTGACTCCAGTGCGGAGATTGGGTGTTTCTGGTGGCACAGCGCCTTTCTTCAGCTTGGAGCTGGCAGCTGTTGAAGGAAAGCGCTCAGGGGATTATTGGATCGGCAAAGACTTAAGCCGTGCCATGGATGAAGTGCACTTCTATGAGAAGGCCACTGGGTGGAAGTCGTGAAACGTTTTGAATGTTGAATATAGCATTGTTGATTCTGGTTGAATTCCTTACAGCCTTCATAGATCTTCTTAGCGATTTTGTTTGCAAATGGTGTGCTCCCATGTGATTTTGGTTATGGCCTCAATCACCCAGTCTTAGCTCATCTTTGCAATCCGCTAGACCAGTCTCGAAGATCGCTGCTATGCCGTTCAGGTGAAGAGCCTGAGCAAACATGCAAGCCGTGAGATGCAGGCTCTATACAACTTCATGTTTCAGTACGATGCATGGCCTAAACAGATCTAAACAGGGTGTGGGAACGTGTGGCAACGGTGGCCAAAGGGAACTTCTGCTTGTCGAGATCAATGCTGGGGAATTCTGAAAATCAATTGTCGTCAAAATAAAGTATGGCAACGACAAGCCTGCGAAGACGTGATTTGATTTTGCTGGCATCGCAAGCACTGAAGCCGAAGGAATTTTGAAAGTAGACATGTTTTTGCAAACTCTTTTAAAGACCCTTCACTTGACAAGTTTTAAAGACGTAGCAGTAAAAGAATGCCGAAGATTCACTTCCCCGGTCGAAGCATCATACAGTTCTGCCGTTTCTACGCAAAGTATTTCAAAGTACAAATCATATTATGGTCCTGTTAGATCCAAACGGCTTGGCCAACCCTCGTTCTGCCAAAGGATGGCATTCTGAAAGCCACAGAAGAAGGGGTTGAAGGTGGTGGCGAATTGGAGCTTCTGGTGCTACAGAATATGAGACACGGGAGGAAATCTTTGAGATTACTGGACATTAAGGTTGGAGAGAAGACCCTCAGGCTCTCATTTGGCTGGGAATTAATGGATTGAAATGAATCTTTTGCCCAGTTTCCCAGAGTTTCTCAGGCCTACAAGATAGCCTTGTCCTCTCTCTCTCTCTCTGGACAACTTAAAGGTGTGAGGTTTTCTGCTTGCTTTTGCCTTTCGCAACAAGGACAGCTGCGGCCAACTGGATGGGGAA